TGCTCGAGCACTAAGACTTAGGTGGCTCTGGGTACAGCTCTTTTTACCTTATTCAGTCAGTGGGGAAGGCAGGGTGCTGAGAATGGGAAGGGTAGGGAGAGAAGAAAATTCTCTTGAGATTCAGGGACTTAGGCTATATTTCAGAAGAGATTGTCCCTACCTGAAACTGGGCCTAATGCAGATAGCTCCCCTGCTCCAATATTATTTTGACTGTTTGCTCGTTTTTTTTTTAACTTTGCTTTTCCAAAGCTGGGGACTGAAAATCTACCAGCTTGCTGGTTCTTTTTGCATCCACACCTGGCTCTCAGCTCCCATCTCTCCCTGAGCTCTGAGCTATCCCTGTCACACATGGATGCAGGCACAGACAAAAATGAAGGTAGTTCACCCTACCAGCCCTGGGGGAGCCCTCCTGTATGAAACCCTGAGCTGGAGCTGGACTTTCCCAGGGGCCTATTGGGAAATTTGAGATCTCCCTGCCCCCCCCTTCTAACATCCCCACTAATCTCACTTCATTGTCTACTTTCCTGCACAACTTGAAAATCCACTTTTCATGGAAACATTCTTTTTCTAGGAGGTTCTGGGGGAGGGGGGAAACCTGCTTCCAACTTTGGACCAATAAAATTTCCCTTTAAAATTCCCATATTTTAATTTTGAAATTGTGTCTGCTATGTGCCAGAGCCATTATTCCAGAATACAGGGTTGTGGGCGGGAGCTTTAGGAAAATGAATCACTATTGACTGCAAATGAGGCTGCACAGATTCTTGCTTTTATTGCCCTACAAAGAGTGCCAAAGGCTGACTCATGAGGAAGGCTTAGGAAGGTCTCCCAGCTGAAGATCAGTCAGATGGCGGAGACAAAGGTGGGGGGGGGGGTGGAGCTAACAATAAGAAGCACTGGAAGACTGGACTGCCCTGGATAATTCTTACTGATGAATATATCATTGCAATTAAATGTAACATATCTAGCTCATGTGTTCACCCCCTTCCCACTCCCTTTCAGTATACTCTTGTCCCAGCTAATAAAATAAATGAAACCAACATTCTCTGAAGCTACCTGAAACTCCAGGGAGTGGATAGTCTCAAGAAAGATGGAATATTTTTGTGTGCTTGCTCTGAAGGCAAGGCATGGAGGAAATAATTCCTGAGGGATGCTACTTGACTCTCCCAACCCTGAAAGTTTCTTTAATGCAAGTACTATGCTCTACCCAGAAGAGAAGAGATTGACTCATTCCAAGCTGGCCTTATTTGGTGTAATGCTCTTTCTTTCTAGAGAATTCTCCCATCTTTTCAAGGGGCTCCTGCTAGGAACCTCAGGGTATAGTGGTGATTTTGCTACCACTCAACTCCAACCCTTTAACCTTTCTTGGATTTTCCTGGTCTATGAGACAAAAGAACCAAAGAGAAGGACAGTGGAATTGTGGATTGCACATTGTTGTGGTTTTTTTTTTTTTCTTTTTCATCCCAGTGGAAACCAAATGCCACAGAAAGGGGATGGAAGCAAATAGGATTTGGTCACAGGGACCTTCCAGATGTGTTACCAAACAGATATGGTATTAACCAGAGTAATGTGCACTGGGTAGGCAGAACAGGGGGAAAACTCTCAGGTTACCTTTTCATCCTGGTTTTCCCCTAATTCTTGTTGTGGCTTGAAAAGTTAGGTCCCTGAAAAGGGTACTTCCCCTTAATTTTCCTTGAAAGACTGATTTTGAGTCTATTTCTGATTACATGATATGATCATCCAATGGTACTATTCTGATGTTCTTAACTGTGATTTCATAAAAACTGCTCCTAAGTCTGGGAAAATCCTAGTGTATGTGTATATTGAGGGGAGGGAGATGGGAGAGAGAGAAAAGGAGTAATAAGATCAGCTGAAGTCTTCTGCTGACTCCCTAACCCCTCTCATCTCAAGCTCACTCCTTATTGAACACCAGGTTGATTCAGTTCAATTCAGTAAATATTTATTAAAGGCTAGTGCATACAATATGTTGTGCCAGACATTGGGGAAGACACAAAGTTTAAATAAGGAAGATTTGCCCTCTTGGAGAAAAACTGCTAGGGAAGTAAGGGCATCTTCTCCACTGGTCAGTCTAAATATATGGCTAATCAACGGAGGAATTCATTCAGCAAATGTTTATTAAGTTTATACAGGTCAGTGCTTGGCCTTGGTTGGTCTTTGTCTGTTATTACTGGATCTGTTCTTTCACTGGTCTGGGGAACTCTGTATAAGGAAAGTCCCTCTCCCAATGCAGATCATAACTATTCTGCAACTTAGCATCTTAGAGAATTGCTTAGGGGCACTAGAAGCTTAAATAATTTGCCTGAGTCACAAGGCCAGTATGGAGTGTGTGTCAGATGCTAGACTTGAACCTAGGTCTTTTGATTCCCCCACCCACAGTGACCACGTGGACTCTGTCCTTGGGTCCCTAGACTCAGATAAGTGAGTTTTTCCTTTATCTTGCCCAGACTGGCATACTACCCCCTCTCCCTGCCCATTTCTAGTCCCCTTTATGTTGACTTTCCCACTATTAAAATGTAAGCTCTTTGAGGGCAGGAACTGTCTTGCTTGTTTGTATTTCCAGTGTTTAGCATAGTGCCTGGCACATCGTGATTGTGTTGAGTCTGTTCAGTCATGTCTGACTCTTTGTGACCCCATTTGGGGTTTTCTTGGCAAAGATAGTAGAGTGATTTGCCATTTCCTTCTCCAACTCATTTTATAGATGAGGAAACAGAGGCAAACAGGGTTAAGTGAGTTGTCCAGAGTTACACATTTAGGAAATCTCTGAGGGCAGATTTGAATTCATGAGGGTGACTCTGCCTGATTCCAAGCCACCTAACTGCCTCACTTGGCATATAGCAAGCACTTAATAAAGCCTTCATCATCATCATCATCATCATCATCCTTTCTCTGCTTTGCTCTGCTGCCTCAGTCTTGTAGGAGCTCCAAAAGTAAATAGGACAATGAACCTGACCCTTAGAGAATTTACAATATTGTACTGGGAATTAAGACTGCACTATAATATAAAATAGGTGGGAAAACACCTAGTTCCCTATCCTACAGGAAGCATGACAGGCTGGAGAGGGGAAGAAGAAGAGGAAGAAGAATACTAAGATTTCAGAAAATAAAGTAAACAACAGAGGAAAAGATGGGGGAGAAAACCTAGGAGAGGATTTATGAGGAGAAAGTTAGGAGGCCACATCAAGCAGCTGAATGGTAGAGAGGAAGGAAGTTCCAGACTTAAGAATAATCCTCAAAGAGGATTAACACATGTACTTTCTTTTATTGATTGATTGATTGATTGAGTTTTTATTTATTTTTAGCACACATACTTTCAAAGCACACATATAAGAACAATTTTGGATTTTCCTAGAGTTGTTGAGTATCAGAGCTGAAAGGGACCTTAAGAACTTTGGCTGTCAGTGCTGGGAAAGACCTCAGAATAGAGATTAAAAGATCTAGAAGAGACCTGAGGACCCTTACTGTCAGAGTTGGAGGAGACCCACAAACATTCATGTAGACTGTCAGATCTGAAAGGGATCAACTCCCTCATTTTATAGAGGAAGAAATAGACACCCAGAAAGGAAGCAACTTGCCTAGGCAACACAGAAAATTAGTAAGAGAGTTGAGACTAGAACCAAGGTCCCTTGAGTCCTAGATTATTAGGGTTTCTCCCACTGTACCATGTTCTTGTTTCAGGAATCACATTTAAGAAAATCCAGTGTATCTGTCATGGCCAATGGAGGCCCAATCCTCAGAGTATGAACGATGTACTTTGCCCAGTGCCAACCCACATCGGGGGCTTGGTGAACCTGCTTCTGGAAATGTGAGATGATGTGTAATAGAGGGGCATGCAGAACATGCACATTCTGTGACTGTTCCCTGCCTACATATTTGAGGGAAAGAAAAGCCTCTTAATTGGTCTTTGTGTCATTCAGTCGTTTTCAGTCATATCTGACTCTTTGTGACCCTATTTGGGGTTTATCTTAGCAGGTATTGGAGTGGCTTGTCATTTTCTTCTCCAGCTCATTTTACAGATGAAGAAACTGAGGAAAAAAGGGTCAAGTGTCTTGTTTTCATGAGGAGTCATTGAGAAGGCCTGAATGGTGTGTACCTTTAGTTCTAGACCAGTCCTTCTTCCTTTCAAATGGGATACTTTTCTTTTTTAAGTCTCCCAATCTTCCCAAATTTGTGATGTCTCCATTTACCATAGAACAAAGTCACACAGCTAGGATGTGCCAGAGGCCAGACTTGAACTCAGCTCCTCCTGACTCCAGGACTGACCCTATCCATGGAGCCACCTAGCTGCCCCTAGACAAAATATAATTTAATTGGTTGCTGAGGAGGAATTAAGTGCTCACACCTGTGAAAGGTATGAATCGGCCAAAGTAAGCTCTTTCCTGATGAAGATCAAGGGAAGATATGTTCTAAACATATAATATACATATAGAATACAAAAACAATGGATAAATTATAGGAGTGGCTATTGATTACAAAATGATTCACCACAGATTGCCTTTACTTATGAAACTCTCCTTATATATTTGGTTTAGATTTGTTTACACATCAGTAACTATTTGATAGACAAGAAAAAAAGCCCATTTATAACATGAGGAGTTACCCCATTCAGAGATGAACCAGAAATCAACCAAATTTCTCAGATGAGATGATTGATGTCAATGGGAAAGTAGAATTCCCTTTACACAGGACTTTCAGGAATGGGATGGCTATATAAAGTAAGAACCACCTCTAATGTTATCTCCCACCATTCATTCATTCATTCATTCATTCATCAACTCATTCATTCAACAAGCATTTATTTGATGCTTATTTCGTGCAAAGTACCAGGGATGCAAAGGCAAAGAAAAAAACCCCATCAAAATAGAAAGGTCCCTATGGGATGGTTACCTGGCCACAGAGAATTTCCTTAATTTGGGAGGAAGTGGTGAGTTCCCCTTTCGCGATTTGTATGTCAAAAACATTTTGGCCTCATCAGTGACTAAGAATTTCAAAGTGGGCTGTGGGTGTAGTGGCCAGGCTAGACGAGATTAAATACCAGCCAGACCCTCTTCATTCCTTGATCAAGATCACTGGCTCAGGGTGAGGATAGACACCAGAGAACTATGCTCTACATCCAGGCAACCCTGCTGGTGGCCCTGATCTTGGGCAGTTCTCTTCCATTCACTCAAGCAGGTAAGGAGGCATCTGGGATGAGGTGAGGAACAGAGTTCTTGGACTTCAAATTCCTTGAACAAAGATCCCCTGTCTTCTTTGGCCCCTCCTGGAAAGGGTTAGAGATAGGAAAAATGCTTTTATTAGAGGGCAGTAAGGACAGTGGACTGGAAGTTAAGGGACCTGGGTTCTGGTCCTGGTTCTACTGCTGCTAGTCCTCTCCCTTTGGGTCAAGTCCCTTCTGCTCTCTGAACTTCATGAAGGAGCTGAACTGGAGAAATGTGAAAGGCCTTTCAGTCCGAATCTTTAGGAGCGTATGATTTGTTTTCATGAGGGGCCATTGAGGAGGCCTGGATGATGTGTACCCTTAACTATAGACTAGCCCTTCTTCCTTTCAAATGGGATACTTTTCTTTTTTAAGTCTCCCAACCTTCCCAAATTTGTGGTGTCATAGAACAATAGAGTCATCGAATGAGTCTTACTTTTACTTGTGTCTGCTCCTGAGAATATCATCCCTCCTTTTCTACCTCCTGAGATCCCATTTGTCTTGCAGTTTAAGTGCTCTTTCCTCCCTGAAGCTTCTCTGGATACCTTCTACCCAAGGTTAACCTCTTCCTCCTCTGAGCCCATTAGACCATGTGCACACCTCTCCTCGGCTCTTAGCATGTCCTGCTTTGTATCTGTAATCTTCTGACCCTTCCTACCAGACCACAGACTATTTGAGGACTGCCTAGTGCAATACAAAAAAACCAAAAAAACAAAAAAACCTCTAAAAATGGAAAAGCATTGTGGAATGACTACAGAGAATTTCCTTGATTTGGAAATAGTGACCACTCCTTTGGGAACTGGTGATTTCTTTTTCATCTTTTAATCTCCAGCGCTTGAGCACAGCAAGCAGAGTAGGCACCCAGGTAACCACGGTTGAATTGAAGTAAATCCCAATGATGATGATCATGGTGATAATACACAATCCCTTAAAGAATTTTACCATCTTCAAAGGAAGGAGGGGAGAAGAAGAAGGAGGAGGAGGAGGAGGAGAAGGAAGAGAGGAGGAGAAGAATCAAGTCTTGATGTGAAGAGGGAATGTGTCCTCATGACTACAATGCTGGACTTATTCCCAAGCAGATATGGCTTCCTATCCCATGGCTACCTTTCACACTTACTAGCTGTGTAACCCTGAACAAATAACTTTACCTCTCGGGGCCTTGGTTTTCTTATCTGTAAATTAGGGATAATAATATCTATTTGTATCTCTAGGGCCTTTCACTCAGTAGGTATATAATAAATGTTTGTTGAATTTAATTGAACTGTAGTACCCACCTCACAGGGCTGTTATGGGGCTTAAAGGAAGTAATATAGGTAAAGCACTAGATAAATGCCAGTCAAATTAACTAAAAAAAAAATTAAAATTAACTTCTCCAGAGTTTTGTTCAGGTCCACCTAATTTCTTTCTGTTCCAGGGTCTGGGGTCATTGCTGGTTGTCCAGGCCTGTCTGACATGGTTTCTTTGCTTTTTCTGCAATGACATCCTGGAAACTCACTGACTTAAGAGTCAGAAGCCTTGGGTTCAAATCCTGGTTTGTACCACTTACTAGTTTAAATCATTTCACCTCTTTAGAACTCAGTCTCCTCATCTACAAAAAGGGATTAATAACATCTGCTCACAAGGTCACCAGGAGGAAAGCTCTTTGAAAACACCATAGAAATGAGAGCTCTGATTATTTTCCTGGCAGGCCCCTATGGTGTAAACATGGAAAGCAGCATTTGTTGCAAGGACTTCGTTTCGTTTCCCCTGCCTTTGAAGGTTCTGACCCGTTTCTTCTTCACTTCCAACAACTGCCGGAAACATGGAGTGATGTGAGTACTTCTTCTCTGGGGATATAAAGGAGGCAGATGAGGGTCATGAGGAGCACATGTCAGAGGTGATCTTGGCCACAGGCTGTGGGACCCTTCTGTAGGTTGGCAAGTAGACAAGATATTTCTCTCTTGGATGGGCTTGGAATACCCCCTGAGAGAGTAGGGGTAGGAAGGCAGCCTAGCCTAGCCCTGGTTGTTCCCATTTTTGAGATGAAGAAACTGAGGGGTAGAGGGAGAATTGATTCACTGAAAGTGACACAACTGGTTTTCAGGAAGAGACTGTACCCAGGTCTCCCCACCACTCTCTATCCTGCTTTCCAATTCCCTTTCTTATTTATGTCATTTTCTCCATGGATGCCTGGAATGGCCAACCACAGGAATTATTCAGTTAGGCTAGCGCTTCATTGTCCTCATCCCCATATTCAAACCTGTTCTCAGGAAAAAATCAGATTTACACAGAGGTGTCGTGGAATGAAAAGAACTTAATTTGATAATGAAAACAATGGGATCTCCTCCCAAGGAAATTTGCAGGTTTAAAAAGGCAGAAATGTTTTGATACAAAGGAACAAAAACTTTAACGGAGAAGCAGCAAAATATAGTGGAGAGAGAGCCCTGGGTTTAGAGTTAGAGGACCTGGATTTGAATCCTGTCCTGACACTTACTATTTATGTGACCACGAGCAAGATTTCCTGGGCCTTGTTTCCAAATAGATGAAAAGCTAGGTTTGGATTAGGTATTCTTTGAGATCCCTTTCAGTTCTAGGATCTAGGATCTAAATCTAAATCTAAGATCCCATGCAAGGATGGAGGACTTTCCTGGGGCCTCTCAAATCATAGCTGGTAGAGGACTATTTAGTTCTGCACTCATTGACCTCTGAAGCCTGAAGCGCACAAGAGAGCCCAGCCCCAGCCTTGCCTGGCTTGAATTCTCTCTTTCCGGTGCCTCCCTGCCTCCGAGCCCATGGATGCTAACAGCACAAGTGATTCCTCGTCATTAATGAAGACTACTTCTTGGGCAGACTTGGCTCTGTTGGGACACAGGCTCTGGAGCTTTAGCAGTGAGGAAGAGGTGGCAAATCAATGCAGTTTTATAAGCATTTTGAAGCACTTTTTATGTGTGGGACATTAAGCTGGGTATATGGGGTGGGGGAGAAGGAGGGAGGAATATAAAGATGAAAAGCAGCCCAGTTCTTGCCCTAGGGAGCGTCTACATGGTCTTTCCTCACTGCATAGTGAGGGCACTCAGCACAGTGCCTGGCACATAATAAGCACTCAATAAATGTTTATTGACTGACAATTGATTGCAATGGGTGGGTTATGACAAGCACACAGATAAATAGGGTGTGACACATGCCTAACAATGGAAATACGTTTTGCATGACTGCACACGTATAACCTATGTCAAATTGCTTGCCTTCTCAATGAGACGGGAAAGGAAGGTACAGTGGGAATTTGAAACTCAAAAGAAAATTTTAAATAATATTTTATTTTTCCAATTACATGTAAAGATAGTTTTCAACATTCATTTTTGTAAGATTTTGAGTTCCAAATTTTTCTCCCTCCCTCCCCTCATCCCTCCTCAAGAAGTCAAGCAATCTGATATAGGTTATATACATGCAATCATGTCAAACATGTTGTGAAAGAAGAAACAGAACAAAAGGGAAAAACCATGAAAAAAAAACCCCAAAAAACAAACAAAAAAAAAAAAACATGGAAATAGTATATTTTGATCTGCATTCAGACTCCATAGTTCTTTCTCTGGAGGTGGACAGCATCTTCCATCATGGGTCTTTTGGAATTGTCTTGGATCATTGTATTGCTGAGAAGGGCTAAGTCTGTCATAGTTAATTATCGTACAATGTTGCTGTTACTGTGTACAATGTTGTCCTGGTTCTGCACACTTAACTCAGCATTGGTTCATGTAAGTCTTTCCAGGTTTTTCTAAAGTTTGCCTGCTCATCATTTCTTATAGCACAATAGTATTCCATTACATTCATATACCACAGCCTGTTCAGCCATTCCCCAATTGATGGGCAGCCCTTCAATTTCCAGTTGAACATTTTAAAGTAAAAATAAGTTGATGACTCTATGACCTGAGGAGATAAGAGGGTTTGGTTACTGAAGCAAGACAGGGTTGGTGACAAATTCCAGGAATCCCTGCCTCCCTCCATTCTGAAAGTGTGTATTGTCAGGCTTTGGAGTGATCTCCTCCAGAAAGCCCTCCCAGATTAGCCCTGACTGCTCTTGATGGCTCCTATATCTGATGTCCACTCCTCGGTCTTTGCTTCTGTGTCCTCCTACAGGTGGGACAGATCCTTTGAAGCTTCTCTCAGGCCTCTTATGTTTGTCATGCCAGCCTGTATTATATACTCCTTCAGGTCATGCCCTAAGGCTTCTGTTTTTGGAAAATCAGAATGTCAGAACTAGAAGGGGCCTTAGAACATGGAGCAGCATTACCAATAAGCTTGTGTCTATTTTAAAACAGATATGCACTTTCAGAATAAACTGATTCTGGGAGGGAGGCAGGGATTCCTGGAATTTCTTGCCAACTCTGTGTTGCCTCAGTGACCAAACCCTCTTATCTCCTCAGGTCATAGAGTCATCAACTTATTTTTAGAAGAAATCTTAGAATCAAGAACCTAAGATTGAGCAGAAATTTGTCTTGCTTGACTATGTGTATTTGTAATAAGGGTTTTGTTTTTTCTTGCTTCTCAGTGGAGGAGAAGAAGAGGATGAAAACCTGAAAAGAGAATAAAGTTCATAAGAGCTGAAAATTATTTGAGATGTGGAATGGTGCAATGGAGAGAGAGAGAGAGAGAGAGAGAGATGGTTGAATTTGAAGAAAGGAGAACTGGATTTGAATTTTGACTCTGCCATTTAGTAGCTATGTGACTTTGGGCACATAAGCTACTAATCCTCTCTGAGCCTTAGTTTCTTCATCTGTAAAGTGGGGATAGTAATACTTGTGCTACCTACCTCATAGAGTTGTTGTAAGGAAAATGCTTTGTACACCCCAAGGTGCTATAGACATGTTTGCACTTGAGCATGGTTTGTACTATTTGTATACAGTCATTTGCATGTCATTTCCCTCATTAGACCATGAGCTTCTTGAGATCAGGGAGCTATCTTTCACCTTTCTTGGTATCCCTAGATCTTAGGACATAGTGCCTGATGCATAGTAGGCACTTAATAAATGTTTGTTGACTGACTGACTCCTGCTCAGAGTACAGATGATGGAGCATAGAATGAAGACTGTTAGAATGAAAAAAGACTTTAGAACTTCAAATGTTAGAGCTGGAAGGGTCTTTAAAGGTCATCTAATCCAATCCCCTCATTTTTCAGATGGGGAGACTGAGGGTGAGAAAAGGGGAAGTGAGCTATAGATCTACTGTTTTTGTTTAGTTTTTCCTTTTTTTTTTTTGATAGTTGATTATTTTTATTTTTCAAATAATAAGTACTTTAAAAACAAACTCATCCCTCCCCCTGTCCTCTCCATTCCCCTTTGTATGCATTGCCCTTCTAAGTGATAGAAGGGTACTCTGCACACAACAGGGACTTAATAAATGCTGAACTCTGGACAAGCTGGGATCTCACTCACTGATGACGACATTTCTTTAACTCTTTTTTCTAGCCTGCTAACAATGAAAAATCGTCAGATCTGTGCAGACCCTCAGAAGGCCTGGGTGAAGCATGCCATCATGGCTCTCAAAAAGAAACACTGAGAAGAGGTCCAGCCTCGCTATGGAAGCACTGAATGTCTCTCTTTCCAGACGTTCCTAGATGCCTCCTCCTTGATCTCCATTCTTTATGGGCGATCGATATCAATAGTTACTGTGTGCAGTGTTGGGCCATGCCCAGAAGAAATAAGGCTAAGGTCTGCAGTACCCACCCAACCAGTCTGATTTCAATTTTAAAGTGTGCCAAATACATGACATTTCCCACTATTCTTTTTTTTTTAAACTCCACTACCTTTGTCCTCCCCTAACCTGTAGATACAGCATCCTTATGATCACTGTCCTCTCCCCTCCACGTGCCAATACACATCGTCTCCAGTCCTGCTTTCTCCTCTGATGCCCTATGGCAAGGCTTCTTAATTTTGTGTGTGTGTGATAGAATATTCTCGTGTAAGAATAATGGTTTTAAATGCATAGAATAAAATATATAGGATTACAAAGGAAACCAATTAGATAGAGAGCTAAAGAGAGTGTCAAGTGTCTAAGGCTGAATTTGAACTCATGTCGTCTTGACTCTAAGGCCAGAGCTCTATCCTAGCTGCCCTAGGAAACCAATTATATTGAAAAAATTATTTAAAAAAAAAATTTAATTCACAGACCTCAGGGTAAGAACGCTTGCCTTATAGTATAAAATGTTTCCTTCCTTCCTCTCCAAAAACATATCCTGACTTGACTAAGCCCTGGAACAGATGATTGAATAATTAATGCATGAGTGTGTATTACTTAATAATGGCTTTATATGTTTACAGGACTGCCACCTCACCCCTCCTCCCACCTCCAGCCAAGATTTGCATTTTAAAAGAAGACAAGATTAACCCAAAGAAGCAAATCTTTAATGGCCAATTTATTTTAAGCATTTTAAGAACCTGAATGGGAGAGATTTTCTTTTTCTAAGGGTGAGAGTGGGGTTTGACTGGGAACTTTTTGGTCACAGGGTCCAAATCCTAGTACCTTCTGAGAGGTTCCTAGGGATGCTATGACTGAAGAGAGAGCTCTCTATAAGGTCCCTCTAGGACAGATTAGGCCTTTCATGATGGCCAGAAAGGGAAATTAGATTAACTGCCCAATCCTTTGGAAGAGAGCCAGCACTGAGATCCTGACTGCAACCTGAAAATAATGAATAAGTGGCAACTAGGTGGTGCAGTGGATAGAGCACCAGTCCTGCAGTCAGGAGGACCTGAGTTCAAGTATGACCTCTGACACATAACACTCACTAGCTGTGTGACTCTGGGCAAGTCACTTAACCCCAATTGCCTCACCAAAAAAAAAAAATTAATAAATTACTAGGAAGGGAGAGGTCTCCTTTCATAGGTTTATACTTATGGGGTGAGGAACCTGTGGCCTCAATGCTACATGTGGCCCTCTCAGTCCTCAAGGTCAGCCTTTTGACTGAGTCCAAGTTTCACAGAACAAATCCTTTAATTAAAGGAATTTCTTCTGTGAAATTTGGATTTAGATATGAAAAGAATCTTAGAGATCAAAGCTAGGATTCAAATCCAGGCCCTCTGATTCCATGCTAGAGGCTAACAGGGCTAGATAGGATATCCATGCCACTCCTTCCAAGTGTATTTGGTTGTATCCTATAGGCCCCAGCCTACCTTCTTCCTGACCTTCTCTTCCATGGCTCCCTCAAATAGACTACTTTTAAGAAGCAATCTACCATATTGTCAAAAGTATGGGAGCTGGAGTCAGAAGACCCGAATTCGAACCTTGGCTCCAATGCTTACCAGCTATGTGACTCTGAGAAAATTAGATTGCCTCTCCAAATCTTAAGTTTCTTTAGCTATGAAAACGGAGATAATGAAGTTTACACTCCCATCTCCGTGCCTTTGCAATGCTTATTCCTCATCCTTGGAATGGTTTCCCCATTCCCCCCACATCTACCTTTTGAAATCCACCCCTTCTTTAAGACTTAGCTTTGCTGTCAATTCCTTCATAAGATCTTTGAGCTTCCCAGCAAAAAGATTCCTTTCTTGAATCTCTTGTGTCTCTCTTGACTGATCTAATGCATTTATTGTATTATAACTTGTACTAGAGTTGTCTGTATTTTTGTCTTATTCCTCACTTTCTTTCCCTCCCCCAACCCCACCTACTCCCCCACCAGATTGTAAACTCCTTGCAGAGATTGAAGTAAAAGGCTTATGAAAATAGCTATGGTCCTTGCTCGTATTTTGTGAGTTGTAGTCTAGGGAAAGGTGGGGTAAATTAGAATCACAGACCTTCATTTTACATATGAGGAAACTGAGGCGGTGAGTGGGGAAGTGACACCACACAAATAATGAAAGGCAGAATAGGAATTTGAACCCAAGTCCTCCAGACTCCCAATCCAACATTCTCACAACTCTCTTTTGATTTACAGATGAGAAAATTGAGACCCACAAAGGCTAAATCACTTCCCCAAGGCCATATAGGAAGTAAATGGCAGAGGTGGGATGTGAATTCTAAGCCATATAGTGAGGAGAATGCTGGACTTGGAGTCTGGAAGACCCAAATTCAAATCCTGCCTTTAATGCTTACTGGGTGATGACCCTGGGTAGGAAACTTTTTGTCTTAATTCAATTTTATTTTATTTTCAACTTCAAATTCTCCTTTTCTCACCTCCTTCACTCTCACTGAGAAAGTAAGATTAATAAAACCCATTACAAACATGTATTGTTCACATGTATATGTGTGTGTGTGTGTGTGTGTGTGTGTGTGTATGTACCCTTCCACCTGCACTCTGAGTCCATTACCTCTCTATCTGGAGGTGAGCAGCGTGTTTCATCATGAGTCCTCTGGAACTATGGTTGATCATTGCATCAACCAGAGTTCCTAAGTCTTTCAAATTGTTTGTCTTTATAATAGTAGTTATTGTATAAGTTATTTTCCTGGTTCTGCTCACTTCACTTTGCCTCAGTTCATATAAGTCTTCCCAGGTTTCTCTGAAATCATCCCTGAGCAAGACATTTAACTCCTCTGTGTCTCAGTTTTCTCATATGTAAAATGAAGCCATTGGACTTCTAAGGTCCTTTTCAGCTGTAAATCTATGATCCCCTGGTCCTTAACACCATGCTTTGACCCTAAGCTCAATGTTCTTTTTAAAGAGGAAATATTAAAAATTAGAGGAGAAATATAAAAATTCAAATCATAGTTTAAGAAATCAATCAATTTATAATTGGAATCAATTCTATTATATCTTACTTCAATATGAGCTCAAGAATGTGAGTATTAATATCAACTGTTGCAGATTAGAACCCACCCATGGCTTTTTATGTTGTGAAATTCTTGTTATTATATCTCCGAATGTACCAGCCAAGTGCTCCATAGCCTTCTTTGCCATGTAACTGAGAAGTTCACTCACACTGAGATGTTGAAGATTTGCCTCACCAGAATAAAGATGAGTTGAAACTGACCTTAAAATAAAAAATAGTAGATCTAGAAGGGAGCGTAGAACATAGAACATAGAATGCCAGAGCTAAATGGGAGCTTAGAATCCAGATTATAAATCCCCATGGGCAGGAATTTGTCCCTCTTCACTAAAGCTACAGCCCCTCACCTGGGCTTTTGACCCCACCAATTTTAGAAATCTTGACGTCCCAATTATTCTTTCTTTAGTGTCTTGCAGATCCTTCTCCCCTTCCCTGCCTTTAAAGTTCAGCTCAAATACCCTATCTTCCATGAAGCAGTCCAGAGAAGGAAGAATGCCTACTTTTAATGGATTGAGAAACTAGTTCCTCCCCTCTGTGAGTCCCATTCTATTTCTCCACCTCTCCATGACCCTCCCCCCCGGAAAGTCATGTACTTTTCTTGCCCTAACTTTAGAATGGTGTTGTGTTTGAAGTAGAGCAGCAATTTCTTTGCTGGCAAGAAAACAAGACAAAGGTCCACAGTTCCATTGATATGATTGGACCCGAGACCAATAAGGGTTTCATCGTGCCACAACTCAAGTCCTTCAGCACATAAGCTCCTTCCTGTAAGTGGCCAAGGGGCTCAGCAAATGCTCCATGGGATGTCTGCCTTTACACACAGAACATGGAATTTCAGAGCTGAAAGGGATCTTATAACATAGAATATCAGATTTAGAAGAGACGTTAGGCCAAAGGATATTGAGATGAAAGAGACCTTAGAATGTAGGACATAGAATCTCAGAGCTGGAATGACCTAGACATCATCCTAAGCCATTGCCCTTATTTTAACAAAGGAAAATGGGTCATCCAACTTTCTATTACTATTAGCTCTTTGCCCCTTTTCCCTCAAATCAGATCAAATCAGATATTCTTTGCTCTTAACGACATTTTATTTCTCTATTAAGGCTGATCTGGTTGTTCCCTGTTAACTGCTTTTACTTTTACTTTTACTTTTTACAGTTTAATAAGGATGATTGTGGAATGAAAGGTGTACAATCCCCTATACTTCCTCCGTCTTCCCCACCCCCAGTCTGAATCTAGCAATGCCCAGTGGAAGAAAAAAACGTGATTTCCACCTAAACCTCTCCCTTTGTTCTGTGTCAACAAGGGAGTGTCAAGTTTGGTGAGGTATTTCTTTCTGGCACCAGCAAGAGTCTTCTTGCTTCTTGGGCATTGAGAAATCAGGAGATGGGGACGTGGAAAAAGAAGACAGGAATCACCTTAGGAACAGCCCTTCAGTACCCTTTACCTCATCCTCTTCCCCTTTCCCAACCCCCTGGCTTCCACCCCTAGTCGTTGTTTCGTCTCTGGGGAGTCCTAATAGCTCTGAGCTTGGTGGGGATTGGGGTGGAGTGGGAACACTAAATCCGGAAGTACTAGGACCAGGGGGCCTCCCTTCAAGTTTGAGAAAGTAAGTTCAGGAGCACAAAGGGAACTAATTGATATCTGACTTAGAATCATAGAATCTTACATCTGGAAGACATCTCAAAGATCACTTGTCTTTTTTGTTATTCAGTCTTTTCAGTCATATCTAACTCTTCATGACTCCATTTGGGGTTTTCCTGGCAAAGATACTGAAGTAATTTGCCATTTCCTTCTCCAGCTCATTTTACAGATGAGGAAACTGAGGCAAACAGAGCTAAGTGACTTGCCCTGGGTCACACTGCTAGTGTCTAAGGCTGGATTTGAATTCAGGTCCTCCTCACTCCAAGGTCAGTGCTCTATCCACTGTGCTACCTAGCTGCCCTCATTTAGTCCATCCCTTTCCTTTATAGAGGGGCCTCTGTTTCCTCATTTGTAAAATAAAGGGGTTAGATGAGATCA